TACATATGTGTGAGGGTGAAACATATGTATGAGTAGGGTACATATGTGTGAGGGTGAAACACATGTATGAGTAGGGTACATATGTATGAGAGTGAAACATATGTGTGAGGGTGAAACATATGTATGAGTAGGGTACATATGTATGAGAGTGAAACACATGTATGAGTAGGGTACATATGTAGGAAGACAAAATACAAATCTTATGAACCACATACATGAGGAGGAATTACTTGTATGGGGGTGAAACACAAGTATGAGGGTGAAACACATACATGAGGATGAAACAAATGTATGAGGAGGGTACATATGCATGAGGACGAAATACAACTCTTACGAAACACATACACGAGGAAGAAACACGTGTATAAGGACAAAATACAAATCTTATGAACCACATACATGAGGAGGAATTACTTGTACAAGTATGAGGGTGAAACACATACATGAGGAAACAAATGAACACGATGTATGAAGACGAAAAACATGTATGAAGACGAAAAACATGTATGAAGACGAAACACATACATGAAGCTGGCAGTTTATTTTATTGTGCGTGATATCAATTATAATTTTTTATCGGAAAGAGATCCTAATTTGCGTTTCTTTGAGACTATTCATTAATACATTACTGACAAATCAAACATAAATTTACACTAGAAACGATAAATAATGATGATATTGATCTCAACTAAGATACATATGAACACTTTGTGACTTAAATGTTAATCATTTGATTGGAGGGATTTTAAGGCTAGAATATCGATTTATCGATCGCCCGGTCGGAGATAATCGCGGCTTAACCTTTATTTTTAACTTCTGCAATTTCTTAATTACATTTTCTAAAGCAACATAAAAATTGACTTAAATCCAATATAGCTAAAACTATTTAGATCAATGAGATGTCGCTTCAATTCCAATATCTATAGTCTTCTTCTAAAACTAATATTGTCTAAAATGTATCAGCATCACTAGAATGTTGATAATTTGATATTAATGAAATACCTAGAATGTGATTATTAGCTGTATCTTCCTTTTGAAAGTACTGCATGTCAACAGATCCACTTTCCAGGAAATACGTGTTCTCAAGAACAGTAGAAATAAAATCACAGGTCCCGGTGGATTTGCTGAAGAAGAAAGAATCACATTCTGTGTTCAGGTAACAGAGATAGGCACAGGAAAATGCACTATTGCCAGGAGCTGAATACAACACATTCAAAGTATTTGAAACAGCATGGCCATCGAACACGTGATTACGACGGAACATCTTGTCCGCTGCAGCAAAGGCTGAAACCAAATATAAACAAGTTTTATTATTTTTTAAAATAAAAGCGAGTGTGTTATATCGGATATAAAACAAACAAACAAACCAAGGAGAAATCATCCCAATAAGATTTCTTCTGTAATTGACTTTTCATATATCTCCATTGCCAGATATAGAGGTGTATGTTCCTCGAGTGGCGTGGTGTTGTAAAACATGATGATATGAACCATGGACAGAATACGTAACAGCGAAGAGAGTCGCGGTTCATTTCATCAGCATGAACTTCCTCATGGTAAAGACGAGTTATATTTTGTTTTCAATTGATATATCCTTGCTCAGTTTCATACATGACGGAAAATAAATAACAAGGGTCGGGGAATTGATGTGGGGCGATAAGGGCTCTCATTTTACAATGGCCATGGTAAAATGAAGCATTTCATTTTTTAACTGATAAATTTTTTTCCCGTCAAATAATTCTTTAAATTATAACTATTCATGATTTTAAATACATGAATAACAAAATGTAAAACAGAAAAAACGAAAACAAACAAAAAACCTGTGCGGGATGAGGAAATTCAGGGTGGGGCAGGGTGCCTGACATTATCATAGTTACCCCGATCCATTTTTTAACATATGATTATTTGTAATGCTAACTGTGGGTACTGGTATAACCAATGGTATAAACAATGTTATGATGATTGTATAATCAATCATATTGATGCTCTCTCTGTCTCTCTCTGTCTCTCTCTCTCAACCCCAACCCCTCTCTCTCTCTCTCTGTCTCTCTCTGTCTCTCTCTCTCAACCCCAACCCCTCTCTCTCTCTCTCTCTCTCTCTCTCTCTCTCTCTCTCTCTCTCTCTCTCTCTCCCTCTCCCTCTCTCTCTCTCTCTCTCTCTCTCTCTCTCTCTCTTCTCTTTCTCTCTTCCGCCTCTCCACCCCCTCTCTTTCTCTCTTCTACGCAAAATGTTTGTTTAACATCTTATATATTGTCAATAATTCAAATGGTTCCACTGTTTAATTTTTGATGGAAAAGGACGTTTCTAAGTTGGCGTAATTGTGTCCAATTCCTTTAGAATTTTTCAAATAAAATATGTTTAAACTAAATAACAGAAAAAAAAGAAATGACCGGTATGGGGAAATTCAGAATGGGTCAGGGGGCGTTACTTTGCTATAATTGTGAAGTAAAGCCTTTCACTAATTTCCACACCAATTGAACTTTTTACGTCATATTTTTTTAAAATTATCATGATTCTTTCTTTCAAAACACATAGATAACAAAACATGTCTGGGGTGGGAAAATTTATGTGCGGAACAGGGAGCTCCACTTCATCATGATGGATCCCTGTCTCACCATCAATTTTCCCGTATAATGTATGAAGAATTGTGTTAAAAATCAAGCTAGGAGACAAACATTGAAATGCTTCACATTACCAATGATTTCACTTGATCATACTACACCTACTGCTAGTACAGCTACGGCAAAAAAGTATTCTACTTATCATTAAACTGACTTCTGAAGGGGATTCTTCAAAAACATCTCAGGAATGTAAGATGGAGATAATACTCACCAGATGTCATCATCATCAGTTTTAGAACGGACAACGTGAAGGCAGTCATGGTTAGTCGGTAGGGTATGGTAAAAGATGACACCAATCCTGGAGGCTGACGCACCAGCTAAAGTATGAAAACGTGCAAAGTACTGATAGCTACATACGAGCGCATGAAACTTGCCCAATAAGGTAAAATAACTAGACCAAAGTTTGGCTTGACTCCTGTTGCTTCAGATTCCCATTATTTCTCTGTTACTTTCAATGATACAAACTCAATATTTCACGAGAATGCAGCTTTGATTTACTACAGAGAAAAAAATCAATATATCTATACACAAAGATACACGTTCAGAAGGGAAAGGAGTGATTATGACCTCTGTCTGTCTTGCAGAATTCGATAACATATTTTCCCAGGGTCAGTCTTGGCAGTATACTAAACATGATGATTCCTTATATGAGAGACGAGTAAGAAACTTGTAGCATTGATTTGATCTATCTGGATCACACGTTATAGTATACAAATGGGTCAGTGTGGACAGACAATTAATTACACTATTCCCGATGTTATACAGCTGTTTTGTCCGTCTAGGACACGTCTCGACAATAAGGCCCAAATAAGGAGCATATCGATCGGTAATAGCTAGTAGGCTATGTATCAATTCCGTACGTCTCTGTCGTGCAGAAACTTCCTCAGAACAATCATTCTGATCGAGACATTCATCGTTTACAATTACATAACATCTGTGTATTGTGAAAGGTAATTCTTAAGTCGTCGTGTTTGTCCTTCGTTCCCTTATGTGACAGCCTACACAACAGACAGGTTTTATAACATTCTAATATGTGTTTTTTTATGATAAGTTTTTTCAGTGTATTTTATCTATCCATCGACCAGCATCTTCACCACTCAGCATCATCCCATACCCATCTCTGTATCTTTCATGGTACATATGTACCAATATTGACCACTCTGACGGAGATACGGGTTGCCTGAGATTGGACCGTTGTGGCGCGATGTATGGTCGTCATTCTGTTAGTATTGTTTTTGATTATATGTTGCCACTCTTATTGTCATAACAACGCTTAATGTAATGATTATTACATTAAGCGTTGTTATGACAATAAGAGTGGCAACAATGGTATACCAATGCAATTTCAGCAATATGTTCAGGTGGTGTAAGAAAACGAGGTTCGATCAGGTTTTGTCAGCATTTTTTATATATACATTGATCTTGCAAATATCAATTAAAAGAGACGAGAATTATGGGTGTAAATAATTGCTATTCATATTAAACAGTTAATGTTTTTGTTATGTTAAATGAAACAGATTTTCTTTTCATGTTAACTAAGAGGGTTTTTTATATTTAATTTCAGATGTCTGCAACAGACATATAAACTCACACGTATGATTTCGAGAAATGCAGGTTGATGAAAATGACGAGGGATGTTTTACGGTCGCCATGACGATTTCTTTAGTAAACAATCTATTTTCTGTGTGGAATCGAGTTGAACGTGGTTGATGCTTGTTAGTTTACATTGGTCTCATCTGTGAACGTGACATTACTTATTTTGATTGACCAAGATTTACATGCTAGGTCTCGCCGATGAAGCAGAAGACGCTTACTATTCCGAAACACGTGGCCATATTCTTCTTGCACTTTTTCTTGAGTCTTCGTGTAAATATGCTTTTGTCAGTATTTGCGCCAGTTTTACTGAATTTGAGTTGGGATTATATAAATGATTATATTCACTTGTTGCTATTTTCTTTGTTATGGTTCAAACTATCATTTAAATAAAATCGTTTGTATAGACAAAGTACATATAACGATTAGAATAAAACAAAGATAAGATTCGAAATTATTTCCCCAAAATATCGGGTACGAATTTTGACAAGACACATCTGTCCATTAAAGTGGACAGGATCGAATGCACCTCGATTTACCGGAAGTTACCTATTAACTCTCTGATAGCGTTTAATACTATTTTGTTTCCAACTATAATTATGTAAAATAAATACATTTCGCTATATTATATATAATGTGACCTAATACTATGAATTGGTATCAACATATTAATTAGATTAATATGCTTCGATCGAAGAGAAAAAGAATTACCTAAATCATTACGTGGGCTATCATGGTCTCCATCACTCGGATCAAGCAAAGATGATGAAGGGTAGAGATAGAATCGATGCAGTATTTGTTCAGGTTTTTTCATTTTGCTATTTTTGTTTAGTTTTATCATTTTGCTATCAATGCTTACATCTTTGTTAATGTATTTATCATATTTATTGTGTATTGAAATACTTCAGGTACTGATGCTGGACAAGGTTTGGGTGTATCTGTCTGATTGTAACGTCGTTGCCGATCTCTTGGATCTGTAATCGGGAAAACCCGGATCATTGATGTTTATGAATCATTCGATTTGAAAAATGATGTAATATATGTATTTTACAGTTTCATTTGCATCGATATTGTGTGAAATTACAGTATCTTTTTTTTCATTTTATTTGCGACAACTTAAATTTTTTGCCTATGAGTATATTTGTGTGTTTTGAATTCTCAAATCTTGTTTAATTTAAAGTTATTTATCCAGTAATTGTCTCGCTTTCTGCTAGATTTGTGTACATATAAAGGGATACTCTCAATCATTCCAAATAATTCTGATGTTTAACATTTTTGAAAATTAAAAAAAAAATTATAAATGACAGAATAATTTGGTCTATAAAATGTTCAGCAACCCTCAGACCGACACGAAAAAAGTTGATCTTTAAGATGTTGGGATCATTCAATTAAATGCTGCAGTAGTAATGCATAGCACATTCATTTTCACCTGCCAAAGTAATTAAAGACTAAATCTTCACTTCAATCCAGGTCAACAATAGTGACTAATACCCTGACATTTTGTAAAAGACGCGGAAGCTAATTAGATATGAATACTACAGGACAGTGCAGTTACTGTTGGCTAAAAACACCCAAACTGTAGTGGCAAGAGAACTTAATTTCCTCAAAAATAAAATATCTTGTCTTTAAAGCCAGCTTACACTGACAAGTACAACTGCCGACCACCCTCAAACAAGCAAACCGAAGATTACAATGGTTGTATCAGCTGCATTAGTAACTCCTTTCTATGTAACAAGATTTAAGGCTTCATCTTGATCAACAGGATTTGCATATGTGATATGCAGTGTTTCATTTGTATTCAGTAAAGATTGTAGAGCTCCGAGATGATAAACTTTGAGATTTCCTAAGTGTCAACCCAAGACTCTAAATACCAAAACTAGTGGAATTTGTTAGGTGCCAGTGTAAACGAACAAGGAAAAAAACATGATTGCCAAACATTCTGATAGGAATTAAAGCCAAGGAAGACCTTCTTCTTTACAAGTACAATTGCATTTATATACATTGATATACTTTAACAAGAAAATTACAAGTATCGTTTGTAGAAATGATACTTAAAAAGTAATTTATCGTAACTGGATGAACATATTTAATCCAGATAGGATATACATACTGCAGTGATCAATTTACAGTTTATTTTCATCTTTTTTAAACACAATGGGACTTTAACAGCTAAACACAATTATGGGTCCCACAACATAAAATTTAAGTATTTCCAAAAATTCAACAAGTCCTGTCAAAATCTATGAGAACTGGACTTGTGACTTGCATGTAAGTTTACTACTATATATTAGTGTAATTTATTTGTTGTAATAGAGGTTCTGTTTATAGTTTAGAGTCTGCATGGCTGAAGGTCCTTGTTCAGAGCCCTCCATCATGTTTGCCTTAATTTTCAATTACCAACTACGTTTCACCAAAATAATAAAACTAATGAATTTTAAAATGCCATAATATTTCCAGAGTTGATGGAGGAATTTCATTCACCTTATAAATGATTTTTACTTTCGTTGTTAGATTCTGAAGGTCAGGATGATGACCATGTGACAGGTTTAGATGACGTTCTCATGACAGCACATATGGCAGAGTACGGATGGGGACTCTCTGAGGAACTCGTCAGAAAGGCCCGCACTGAACTCAATGAGGATCCTGAGAAATTTGCCGAGTTCATCACAGCAGTTACTGATCAAATTGTCACAAGGCCAGATATAAGTAAGTGTACATCGACATCAGTTAGCACATTCTCAATATTTTTTATCCTATAGCAAGCTTTAACAAATAGTCTATTTGTTGAATAATTTTGAAGCTTGATGACTATCAGGCGATGGATTGTATCATGTGTTAGGATTACTATAAAAATATCCCAGGTACATATCTTAAGGGGATCAGGATATTAATCTAAAGTCTAAACTTCAAAATGTTTCTGTTTGATTTTTAGGACTGATCAAAGAAGCAAAATGGCTGACAAGCTGACATTTTGAATTTTGACCAAAACATTTGTTATTGCTTTTTCTTTAAATCTACTGGACGGAGCTTTCTCAGATTTAATATGTAGGTTTCCATTGGTTCCTAGATGTGCCATTTCTGTTTTAGAACATGGCAGAAAAAGTAAATGGTTGAGATATCTATAGGCTGCCACAGTGGATTGTCATAATGAATGCTTGTCATAACATTTCTTGAAAAGTACAGGATGGATCTCTCTTAAAATTCAGGTGTAGATTCCCATTGGTACCTTGTTGTGCCCTTTTGATTTTAGGACTGATCAGAAAAACAAAATGACTGACATCTTAGATTGTCAGTGAATGATTATTATTGCTATTTCTTAGAGGCATTTTCAAATCACATTTAATTACAGCAAAAACAGTGGAAAGAAGAGAAAAAGATGAACTTTTAAAGAACAAAGATTTTAATAATGTCAGGTGCCAAAATCTCTCTTGGATCTCTTATTATTAAGTTCTAATTCATCATTTCCAGCAAACATAAGTCCTCTTGACTGAAACTTTTCCTGAGTAACTGTTCCTGAGTAACTTTTCCTGAGTGACTTTTCCTAAGTGAGTGACTTTTCCTGAGTGACGTTTCATGCATGACTTTTCCTGAGTGACTTTTCCTGGGTGACTTTTCATGCATGACTTTTCCTGAGTGACTTTTCCTGGGTGACTTTTCCTGAGTGACTTTTCCTGAGTGACTTTTCCTGAGTGACTTTTCATGCATGACTTTTCCTGAGTGACTTTTCATGCATGACTTTTCCTGAGTGACTTTTCATGCATGACTTTTCCTGAGTGACTTTTCCTGGGTGACTTTTCATGCATGACTTTTCCTGAGTGACGTTTCCTGAGTGACATTTCCTGAGTGACTTTTCCTGCATATCTTTTCCTGAGTGACTTTTCCTGGGTGACTTTTCCTGAGTGACTTTTCCTGAGTGACTTTTCCTGAGTGCCTTTTCCTGCATGACTTTTCCTGTGTGACTTTTCCTGAGTGCCTTTTCCTGCATAACTTTTCCTGAGTGACTTTTCCTGCATGACATTTCCTGAGTGCCTTTTCCTGTGTGACTTTTCCTGAGTGACTTTTCCTTAGTGACTTTTCCTGAGTGTCTTTTCCTGAGTGCCTTTTCCGGAGTGCCTTTTCCTGCATGACTTTTCCTGTGTGACTTTTCCTGAGTGCCTTTTCCTGAGTGACTTTTCCTGTGTGACTTTTCCTGAGTGACTTTCCCTGAGTAACTGTTCCTGCATGACTTTTCCTGTGTGACTTTTCCTGAGTGACGTTTCCTGGGTGACTTTTCCCGCCTGACTTTTCCCGAGTGACTGTTCTTGTGTGATTGTTCGTGAGTGACTTTTCCTGCATTACTTTTCCTGAGTTACTATTCCTGCATGACTTTTCCTGAGTGACTTTTCCTGTGTGACTTTTCCTGAGTGACATTTCCTGCATTACTTTTCCCGCCTGACTTTTCCTGGCTGACTTTTCCTGAGTTGACTTTTCCTGGGTGACGTTTCCTGGGTGACTTTTCCCGCGTGACTTTTCCTGAGTGACTTTTCCTGAGTGACTTTTCCCGAGTGACTTTTCCCGAGTGACTTTTCCTGAGTGACGTTTCCTGGGTGACTTTTCCTGCCTGATTTTTCCCGAGTGACTGTTCTTGTGTGATTGTTCATGAGTGACTTTTCCTGCATTACTTTTCCTGAGTTACTATTCCTGCGTGACTTTTCCTGAGTTTTCCTGAGTGACTTTCCAGAGTGACTTTTCCTGAGTGACTTTTCCCGAGTGACTGTTCTTGTGTGATTGTTCGTGAGTGACTTTTCCTGCATTACTTTTCCTGAGTTACTATTCCTGCGTGACTTTTCCTGAGTTTTCCTGAGTGACTTTTCCAGAGTGACTTTTCCGGAGTGACTTTTCCCGAGTGACTGTTCTTGTGTGATTGTTCGTGAGTGACTTTTCCTGCATGACTTTTCCTAAAGCTTCAAGAAAGAAATGGTTATTGTGGAGCTTTTGTGAAGCAAAAGCTCAAATGACACACTTTGTAAAGTACGACAGCTAACCAAGGCAATTCATGCACTACCTGAAATTCACTGTGTACATCAGATTCCATGCCTAACACCTACCTACACTTGTAATCAAGCACTAAGTGACCCCAGAAATCCTGTACCATCTATAGATATAACCTTTATCTCTGATGTAAATCATCATGGTAAAATGTCCGGGTTGCTGGTAGGGGGATAAGTAAGGTCCTAGGAGCCACGCAAGACAAGATGAATTCTCCAATTTCTTAATTTAATTTTCAAAACATGATTCACATCCTGCAACATAGAATGATTTATTTTATTTTCCTACTTTCAGCTTTCCTGAGAACAGACGAAGCATTTGTGACAAGATTTCTTCGAGCACGGAAGTACGACACATTTGAGGCATTTAAGCTGTATGCCCGTTATTTTGAATTTCGCCAGGACAACACCAATCTTTTTAAGAAATTTCAAGCATCAGAGCCTGGAATTAAGGATGCCTTGTACGATGGTCTGCCAGGAGTCTTGCCAAACCTTGATCACTATGGACGTAAAATTATTGTTCTGTATTCCGCAAATTGGGACAATAATCGGTATGGTTTGGCATCTATATATCGAGCAATACTACTGACTCTAGAAAAGTTGATTGATGATGATGAAGCTCAAATCAATGGGTTTGTGGTTATTGTCGACTGGAGTCAGTTTACGTTTAAACAGTCAACATGGCTTAGTCCAAAAGTTCTCAAGTTGATGATCGAGGGGCTACAGGTAATTGTGTTACTTTTATATGTAAATAGATCTAAAAACGGTCTCTTTTACAAGTCATGTACCAATGAAACAGGGCATGGGGACAGACTATAGTATTCCTCTCTGTCTGTCTGTTCCGGCATCAAATGAATATTTCAGCACTCTGGCAGCTTCATTCCTTCAGGGATTCTCAGCAAACTTCATTTACATATTAGACATCAAAATGTCTGGGACAAGTTCAAGTTCAGGGTTGATGGGTCAAGGTCAAGGTCACTAATACTATTTTTAGAAAATCATTGTCAGTGCTCTAGTAGATTCATGCCTTTAGGTATTATCATCAAACATCACGCAATTATAAAATAGCATGTGATCTTAATCAAGTTCAAGGTCAGGGTTGATGGATCAAGGTCACTTTTACTATTTTTATTTCTAGCTTGTGAAGGCCAGTAGGGGCCTGGTTTACTTACCCTGCCTGGTTTACCTACTTACCATAATATGAAAACAAATCAAGGCCAGATTTATACCTAAGTACTTATGTACTGACTATGTAACTATGATTTATACCTAAGTACTTATGTACTGACTATATGTACCTATGATTTAAATTCAGGTGACTTAATTGGATGGGTTTTTTTAGACAAAGGCTTGAAAGACATTTATTTTACATAGATATTAATTCAAGATGGAACGTTTCTTTAAAGTGATATTTTCAATTATTTGTTTGAAATCTTTGAAATCTCTCAAATTTTCAGCTGAATTATCTCTTAACTGATACATTTGTAGGACTGTTTTCCGGCACGGTTTGGAGCAATACACTTTGTCAATCAGCCATGGTACATTGAAGCTGTCTTTAAGATGCTTAAACCCTTCCTAAAGGAGAAAAGTAAAGATAAGGTAATGTATATACAGATTCAATCAACAAGGACAATATATTGATCATCCAAACATTTGTGTAATTCAGATTCACAACATGCTAATTCTTGTCACCATTAAAAGGATATAAATGATGGATACAACAATATCATATTCAGTATACACATCTTTTCGATCCTTTGTTGACTTTATTTTTCATTTTCATCTTTAAAGGCAAATCATGGCTACAGCATCATACTTGATAGATTCTTCATTGTAAAAGATCACAATTACATCTTTCTTACTTTGTGTTGGATTTTATGTTTGTCCTCCAGTAGGCCCTGATGCCTATCACATAACCTCTCACTCAGGGGGTGGGCTTATTACAGGACAGTCACAAAGAAATCATTGCTAACTCTTCCAAATATTGATTTGTTTATTACCAAACAAGAATGTATTGTTAGATAAGTGTAGTATAATCATCATCATTACGTTTTAAAATTTCCCACCAACCTACGATATCTAAATGGCTGTTACATTATAAGATTTAATTAAATTAGCTATTTATGTACAACATACAATGTACTTAATTACTAGATACACATTTCATTGGGGAAATACAAAAGGATTGTACTTATACCTAATTACAGATCCATATGCACGGTATAAACTTGGGCACACTTCACGTTCATATCCACAAGGAGGTTTTGCCAGCGGAGCTTGGTGGCACACTACCGCCATACAACAACTTGGTCTGGGCTAAAGAGCTGATTGGAGACGAGAGCTTTAGCTTTGGTGATAAACAGATCTACTGGCCCGGCCATTGTTCTAAGTTAGTTGATGCATTATATTACAAGTATAAACATTCTAATTGATTGACGGGGTAGACAATGGTGGTGTGTCTACAATGTTCACCAAAGAAAACGAAATGATATGATGGAAACTCTATTTTATTCACTCATGTAAAGGCAGTTTTTTCAGTGTTAATTTTATGAACTGACTTTTTGACTCAATTTTCTTTTTTGAATTTGTTAATTTTAGTTAATTATGTAAAACTCATAAATTCAACAGAGTTTGCATGAAAGTTGACTCTGTAGCCTTTAGAAGATTAGAAATTGAAAAGGACCTCACTTATTTTCAAGATTTTTTTTCAGGCGATACCGAAGGGACCCTTTTAATCTGAAAAGGACCTCGTTTATATAAAACCCAGCACAAACTTTTTATAATATATACATGTCTGGTAAATTAACTTTTTTTTTAATATCCAGTTAAGAATGTTGTGCAAAATAATGGTAAGTCGTAAGAAATCAAAGTTTTTGAATCGGCTGGAGCTTTGCTTAAATTTTTTTCTTTTTTTTTTTCTTTCAGGTCTCGTGCTGTACGGTCTGAATCATTCCCCATTGACCACTTCTCCAGCCATGCTGACCATGGATCAGGAGATGAAACAGGTACACACCTGGATGAAGAGTTCTTCCTTATAGAATAGTCAGTGATAACCCTCATACAACAAACTCTAAACAAATAGCCGTTATTAAGTATAAGATATAGTAGGTAATTTCATAAGGTGGGTACTTTTTGGCATTGTTTTACAAATTTGAGAGAAAAATGAAAAAAAAATCTTTGACGATTTTCCCTTCTGAATTCATACTTTATCAGGGGTACTGTAACATTTTAACAAAACTTAAACAGACAATATGTCTAATACAGTGTACTTAAATAAAAAGAAAATTCAGAAATTAAAGTTAGATGATGCATCAGAAGATGCAAGACAAAGAATTACAAAATATTGAGTTGAAATAATAAACAAATTAAACAAATAAGAGAGTAACACAAAAAATTCCTCAGTAGTTTTTTCCCCTGGCTGTTGTCACTATGCTTCTTGCTATGGGCAGGCCTTGATAAAAGGCTAATTATAGCTGATAAATAGCCTGTACATTCCGAAAATGTAGACATTAACGGTATAATGAGAAAAAATACTTTTTCCCCCCATAATACTCTTACTGCTACATAGTGTTTTTTGTTCTTTGTAATTAGATGTACAGTAGGGTGCTGATTTTAGCTTATTTGTGATTTTGGGTTTTTTTTTAAGAAATTATACTGAACTGAAAAAAAAAATCATTTTTAAACGGTGTCTATATAAGCCATAATCAACCGACTTTTAAGCCATAGATATCGTATGAAACATCCTGTATCAAAGTGCTTCCCTGGGATAAGATGATGATTATTTCCCTTCTTCAAAAGAAAGACAAATGCTGCACAGGTTATTAGATTTACATACAAATACATGTATTTACTGTTTCATCCATATTCATTATATTGCTTTAGAGCTTGCATGATGACAGAACACACTTTTTCCTGTTGTTTCAATTTGCTGCCTGCTGGAGGAAGCTTGCAGTCGGTATGTTACATACAAGAAACAGGTTTTAACCTATTTCCATGTACTGGTAAACAATTTACTTGATCATCATATGTTCTTAATGTGTACATGCAAACAGTAGTCTATCATGTTGTGCTGTCATGCCATCTGCAAACAGTACTCCTATCATGTTGTGCTGTCATGCCATCTACAAACAGTACTATCATGTTGTGCTGTCATGCCATCTACAAACAGTACTCCTCTCATGTTGTGCTGTCATGCCATCTACAAACAGTACTATCATGTCATGCTGTCATGCCATCTACAAACAGTACTCCTCTCATGTTGTGCTGTCATGCCATCTACAAACAGTACTATCATGTCATGCTGTCATGCCATCTACAAACAGTACTCCTATCATGTTGTGCTGTCATGCCATCTACAAACAGTACTCCTCCCATGTTGTGCTGTCATGCCATCTACAAACAGTACTATCATGTTGTGCTGTCATGCCATCTACAAACAGTACTCCTATCATGTCGTGCTGTCATGCCATCTGCAAACAGTACTCCTATCATGTTGTGCTGTGCCATCTACAAACATTACTCCTATCATATTGTGATGTCATGCCATCTGCATACAGTACTCCTATCATGTCGTGCTGCCATGCCATCTGCAAACAGTACTCCTATCATGTCAAGCTGTCATGCCATCTACAAACAGTACTCCTATCATGTTGTGATGTCATGCCATCTTCAAACAGTACTCCTATCATATTGTGATGTCATGCCATCTGCATACAGTACTCCTATCATGTCGTGCTGCCATGCCATCTGCAAACAGTACTCCTATCATGTTGTGCTGTCATGCCATCTGCAAACAGTACTCCTATCATGTCGAGCTGTCATGCCATTTGCAAACAGTTCCTTTCATGTTGTGATGTCATACCATCTTCAAACAGTACTCCTACCATGTTGTGCTGTCATGCCATCTGCAAACAGTACTCCTATCATGTTGTGCTGTCATGCCATCTGCAAACAGTACTCCTATCATGTCGTGCTGTCATGCCATCTTCAAACAGTACTCCTATCATGTCGTGCTGTCATGCCATCTTCAAACAGTACTCCTATCATGTTGTGCTGTCATGCCATCTTCAAACAATAAGACTGTGCTTTACGAAGTATGTTAAAAGTTTCATCCACACAGCAGTGTTCATCGACATCCACAAAGAAGTTTAGTCTGCATTTCTAATTGCACAGAGAAAATAATTGCCTTTCAGAATACATTTTTATAAAAGAAAGTCTACAGAAAATCTGTCTTTGAAAACGTAGATTAGACAAAATCACAGCCAACAGTAGATGGTAGATATATATAGGACCCGAAGTTGTAAACATTTGTGCTATGAAATTGAACATTTTGTGAGGAATAGTTAAAACTGGTAGACTTCTTCATCAGTGAAATGTAATTCTACGAAGAACATACTTTAAAGATCACAGCTTTGTGACATGGTAGAAAACACGTCTGAAGTGATTTTCAGTGCTTCATTGTTTAGGTTTAGAAATTTTCTATGGACCAGGAGGTGGAGCTCAGAATCTTTTTGATTACTCAAGCTATACTTTTATTTGTTCTTCGTATTGTGATATGTTTAGGATCTCGTTTTAACATATGATTCCCAGGAACTTTAGGAGGTCTATTGATTAATTCTATGATCTTTCACATTTTACTTTTAAGTTGACTCTTTGAGACACATTCTAATGGCTACTGATAAACACAATAATATCTTATCTCTTGTATGGAAAGATTTCATGCTTTAAAACCACCAGAACATTTCCCATGATGCATCAGGTTGTCAGAGCGCACACCATGATATATATATTAAAGATTCAGATGTGGAGGAGTGTAAAATAATCAATTTCACTTTTTCTTGACTTCTTGGGTTTACATTATGATAATCCAGTGAAAATTGATTTGTAGAATATCTAGAGTATTAGTGGATTGTGTGAATCTACTTATCCTCATATTCAAGTGCCAATAACTTATTATTTTGTTTTTTAAAAAAAAAAAAAATGAAAATTTAGTCCTACAAAAATCAAGTCCCTAAAAGCCTACAAAAGTCGAGTCCCAGAAACATAAATTATTTGACAGTATTAGATCTGAACTACAATGTTGCCGGAGTATATATTGGTTTGTTATACAGGTTTTATTTGCAATCTGATTAATACACAGATTACAATTTACCTGTACACTATGTTATGAAGATCTGGTGATGGCGGGTGAGGGCTCGCATTCATATGACCTCAATGCTTACAATCCAGCAAGACTTTTTCAGCCATTCAAAAATTGTATCTCATATATGCCTTTTTGGCAGCATATGCAAACTGGAGGATAAAGGTGACGTGATGGAACAGGCAACAGTATGAACTTTTGAAAGTTTTGCTTCATTTCTTATAAAAGTTATAATAACAGAAAATGAGAATGTATTTATAATCCAGTAAAAACACCCTTTTTTTCTGCAAGACGGCTTGCAATGGGGGCAGCCATCTTGGTATGGTTCTGATTAAGGACACTTATTCGTTATTTATATGTTAACAACCAACAACGAAAAGAGCTGAAGAGAAACAGGCTTTGACGAGGCTTTGCCAGTCACGTCTTGATTGGTTTGTTTAAAGGTTATCTGAAGGTGACACAGATTACCAGCCATCGTCAGATCTTTATAATGTAGTATATAATGACATGTTTTATTTGCAGACAAATCAATATTTATATTGTAGAAACAAATAGTACATCTTGCATAGATATATGATTTTATCAAGTCATTGATTTGTTTATTATCCAGAAATACCAACACATAATTCAGTTGTTATTCCTGTGAGGTAGTATGTAGTGTGTTTGATATATTTGTTTCTAGTCTCCTTTTGTATTTTTTGAAAGATAATAATGATTTTTCATGCCGTGTCAAGATTTATAAAATGGGTAGAGTAAATGGTACCTTAAATAGATTAATCAGATTAAGGCAGAAAGAAAACAGTTAAACACTTAAAAATGTGTTATTTTTTATCAGCCGTTAAAATGTCTGAAAAAATCTTTTAGTGAAATATTCATTGAGCTTGTAAAAAATACCCAATCCGATTTTTATTTCAAAGTAAAAAATCACAGGAGATATTTGCTTTCTTTTTTAGTGCAATCGTGTTCAGAATTTTATAGTCTCCGAACATGTAATATTCTGTCAACATATATATATATATATATTGGTGACAAATTTCCAGTAATATAAACCTAGACTATTAGAGCTACAAGTCACCAGAACGTCATCAAGGATACACAAGGGGTTGTATATTTATGTTATTTGAATATGATTTTGAATAGCAGCACAATATGTGTAAAACTGTGATTCAAAACAATAGTACATCTAAGTCCCATATGCCCACTTTTTTAATGATATGTAATTGGTGTTTGACATGTATACACATGTTTTGTGATGTTGTTATACCTTAAATCTTATTTATTGTTTTTGCAATACAATTGCATTAGTTTTTATGGCGGAAATAAATGTTTGTGTTTTATAGAAAATGATTTAAATTCATTTTGCTGTGATTAATTTTTATCCAGGCTAGGGAGAATCAATCTATAAATGGTATCTAATGAGGATAATTTCAATTAAATATGATATTTAAGTAAATTGTAAAAGACTAGTAAGTTATTTATGAGTTAAAAATTTACATATTAGCCATAGAAAACAGGACACTTGCTAATTTCATAATTATTCTTGTTAAATATGAAACACTTAGAAATGAACTACAGTAGTCAGACATGAAATTCTAGTCAAGTTAGGAGATTCATGTCAAATTAGAGGCAAATGTTAGACACTGTTATGTTTTGAAAGCGTAGTCATTTTTAAGTTAAATGTGAGATGCTGGTCAATGAATTTATACCTGGTAGATAATTGATTTTGAGATGCAAATGTGATTAGAATGATTTTCCTGTCAAATGATTGTGAGATTCTAGTCGATCCTGAAATGCTCTTTTCTTCACTTAAGAGATTTATACTTGAAGTTATACCAGGCATATCTGTTGAATGTGATATTCCAGTCAGCGATATACTCTCCTCTGTATTAATATGAGTTGTTCAGCAGTGAAACAATATAATTTGGTTTACATATTATTGTCCCATTTAAAGTTTTTTCAGACATTAATGATCAGATTTTGTTTTTTAAGCCGTATACTACACCCAGACCTCCATCGCTGTCATATTTATGTATCTTGTATACAATATAAGTAACAAGAATGTTTACTTGATCGCAGTTATTTTGGTTTGGTAAGCAAATCAGA